TTTTATTTATTTTTTTTTCCTTGAATTCAATTGCAAGAGATACAGATGCTGCGATGACTTTCCACGGATCAACGGCGCAAAGGCCGCTGCCACAAGATGAGACAGGAAGAAGAAACAAAGAACGGAAGAAGAAGAAGAAAAAAAAAAAAAACTAAAAATAACATGATAACAAATGAGAGACGAAAGAGAGACAAAATAAATTGGGGATATGGTTACGTCCTTCGTTCAATAGTGTTGCAAGACCCATCACAAGTGTTTCCTTATCCTAGTACCTTCCCAACTTACAGTGACGTAAGAGACAAAGCAAGGGGAAAAGGAGAGAGAAGGAAAGAGGAGGAAAGAGGAGAGGAGAGGAGAGGAGAGGAGAGAGAAGGAAAGAGGAGAGGAGAGGAGAGAGAAGGAAAGAGGAGAGGAGAGAGAAGGATAGAGGAGAGGAGAGAGAAGGATAGAGGAGAGGAGAGAGAAGGAAAGAGGAGAGGAGAGGAGAGGAGAGGAGAGGAGAGGAGCGGAGCGGACAGGACAGGAGAGAGGAGAGAGAAGAGGAGGGGAGAGGAAAGAGGAGTGGAGAGGAAAGAGGAGAGGAGAAGAGAGAAGGAAAGAGGAGAGGAAAGGTGATGAGAATAAAAATGAAAATACAAATATTAACATTAGAAAAGCTTGTTCTACTGGCATGAGTATGTATTTGGAAAGATATTCAAAACTTCATATGACATATATATGAAATCTCTGAGTATGCATATGAGGTTGAACAATTAAATTATAATGAATAGTAATAGTAATAATAATAATAATAATAATAATAGTAATAATAATAATAACAATAATTGATAATATAATAATAATAATAATAATAATAATAACAAGAAAAATAACAACCACGATACCACCACCATTACCTACAGTTCTATTCCTAATAAACATAAATGAAAATGAACACGCCACTTACTAGCAAAAAGAAACCACATACTTCCTATCCGGCAAATAAAAATCAACAAAAAATAGAACAGCCCCGAATCTCCATTACAAAAAGAACGTGAAAAAAATATATATATATAATCAATGAAACGCCTCATTCCACCAATCAGTTTTTGCCGTGACCTTACACAAGAACTCGAATACCATTTCCTTTAACCTCTGATTTTTGTATCACAGGTTAGTTTAATTGTCTTAAAAGATGGTTGGTGGTCTTCTTTCTCTTTCTCATCTTCTTTGGTTTCTTTTAAATCCTGACTTTTTTTCTTTTTTTCTTTTTCTTTTTTTTTTTGTCTTCTCCTGTGTGTATTACATTTCGTCTCTGTGCTCCTTTTTGGGGTAACTATCCTTTCCAGCAAAACAGATTCTTTTTTTTTCAATTTTACTCTGATTCGGAACTCAAAAAGTAACAGTAATGATGATACAAGAGTAAACACATTAATCAGAAAATCTAATAAAATGGTATTTTAACCCCAACACGACAGATGAATTCTGAATTACTTGAGTCCCATGTGGCTAAATTAAAAAGGAAAAATTTTGGTGTTATTTCATCCCCTTGTTACACATACAACTGCCAAATATTGTCTCTGAGGACTGGCACTGGGTACATGCACTGTCCGTTGCCTTTTTTGTTAACTAAATTTGTTTACATTTGGATGGCTTCAACAAGTGCTTAGTCATTAAGAAATCTATTACTAGGCCTACCTTATCACACCTGTTTACCCTCCTCCTCAATTTTTTTGGGGAAAAAATATATATAATTATTCATACTATTATTATTACTATGATGCTCCTTGTAATAACAGTAATAACAATAAAAAAAAAAAATCAACAAAAAGGGTAAATGAGTGAGGCGTGGCAGGTCTTGAAGATCAAGCAGTTTTAGAACTATCTGCGTGTTAACAAAATTAATAAAACAAAACCAAAATTTCTAGACTTGCAAACCACAAGATATGTACATGTATATATACATATATACACACACAAATATATATATATACATATACATATATTATTCATCTATGCACATCATAAACAAATAAATATTCATAAACAAAAAAAAAATATACAGAAAAGTTTAAATAAATCTAGTTGTCTTCCCTACTGAGGCTAGTAATCTGCCTCTTCCCCTCCTTGCACCAATTGCACCAATGCAATAAGAGACCAAACTCCCACACCATGTCCAGTGTGCTACAGTCTCAAAAATTCTTCAGAACTTCTTCAAATCACCTCGTAATTTCTGAAGATGAAACGCCAGCCCCTAGAAACACTGTGAGTCATATTATTACAAAGCTGAGCATTGTATGAAAAACCTTAGAAAAAGCCACCCATCCATTCCACGTAAAAAAATGTCTGGCTCTTGAGTACTGGACTTGCATGGCCGTCTGTCCATGCTATTCAATAATCTATACACATCTTGTTTGCTTACATGGAGGGATCCACAAATAGATATTCCTAAGCAGCTTGCTCTTTAAATCACTGGGAAACGAATCCAGACCATGTTCTCTGAGATTAATGGCATAGATATTAGACTTATGTGCGTATACACACGCAACAACAGAATTAATAGTCCTGGCTTCTGATACAAAATCTAATCTTTAAGCCGAACCCCCTAAAAGACGCCCCTCTCTCTAATCTAGTTCACCTGTTAACCTTGAACATGCCAAGATTAATGTCTAACAACGAAAACACTGTAGTTCGAGGCAAGTCATTTTCTTTCCCCGTTACTATGTAAAGAAAAGAAAAAAAGCTGTTTTGGAAAAAAAGGAAATTGACAGAGTAGTGAAAAAGAGCGACAAAGAAAAGAAGAGACTCGCTATTGTAAAAAATCGTGTATGAAAGGAATCAACGGAAAAAGAAAAAAAAAATTACACTAGGTATTACACCTCTCTGTAAAACAGTGCCTAATGTAAGCTATGCCCGTGACAGCTTATAATTAAAAAATCTAAGTAAACCACTCGAGCCTTATTCATCCAACAGTCTGTTCTCCCTTGCCCATTTACTTCAAAAAATACCAAAAACTTTAACCTTTTCCGAGAGCAACTTTCAGACACCTAAACCTTTTCCTATTTGAAATGAC